ATCCAGACACGACCTTTGACTTCCGCTCACTGCTACACCACTTCACATCAGATTAGCCATGTTAAAAACAAAATTCAACTGAGAAGACTTGAATACCTAATTGGCTTTATCAAACATTCATGAATCAGACAGCATCCCATTCAGTAAGCAGAAAGGAGCTGCAAGGAGGTGAACAAAATGGAAGGTTTTTATAGGAAGAAAGATATTGGGACAAGGAAGTGAAAAGAGTGGATTGTTTCAGGCAAGGTTTCCTTCTCTTAGGGGAAAGCAGAGGTCTTCCTAGGCAGACCACTTCACTAGCGCTGACCAGGAAATTCCAGACTGATTAGTATAAATTCCACTCATGGGGGAAGCTGAAACTGCAATTAGTTTAGGTATGAAGTCTCAGCGGGGCTTAGTGCAAGTGATTCCATTTGGGCTTGTTGTTTCTTTTTAACAATCAGTAAGTGCCATTGACTATGCCTTCCAAAGATGTCTTGAACCCATTTACTTCTCTCAGTCCTCACTGCCACATTTTTGTAAATCTACAGGTTCCTCCTGACAAATAAAAATGGCAAGTAATAGGATATATTGGAGTATATGAGGAAGCCATTTTGTGTAAACCTAATTCGGCCTGACCTTGTCTTTCCAAAAGGGCCTGACCGAGGCAGTTGAGCATGCATTGTATATCTGCTTTAGAGATTCCCTATGGCAAGAGCAAAGGCCCTTGAGATAAAGGTGCAACTTCTCTCGCCCTCCCAACGTTGGCATCTCCTTAAAGATTAAGCATCTTTCTTTAGGCTGGGAACCGATTGCAGCGCTCATCTGTGACCCCCCAGCCAGAGGCAACACACCTGCCACCCCGTGGCATTCACTGAGACAGCAGACCTATCTGCCGTTTCCATCTATCGCTGTGCTGACAGAGCAGCCTCATGACTATTGTAAAAGGGACATTTCAATCATATGTGAAACATACTCTTTGAGGGTATGTAACCACCCTGTATACCCCTACTTCTTTGGACTGCTCTGTTCCTTTGTGGAAAGACTCTCCCAGGTTATAATCCTCAGATTTAAGCTCAGAATGAACTCACGCAAATTTTCATTTATAGATTGGTTATGGATTATTTTCATCGACACTCCCATCTTTTTTTTCAATTCCCTTGCAATTTATTCAAAGAAAGTGTATTCTTTCCCTGTAGACTGTCACAAGATCTAGATTTTGTTGATTGCCTAGCCATGGTATAGTTTAACATGTTCCAGTTTTCTCTGCACTTTCTGTAAATTGGTACTTGAATTTAGAGGCTTAATCAGATTCAGGTTCAATGTTTTGGGCAGGACCACTTCATAGGTAATGTGTTCCTCATCAAGAGGCACACAGGGTCTGGTTTTCTTTCCTTTCATGACGTTAGGAATGTTAAATGCCTAGATTCTTTGATCACTAAGGGCTGCAAAAGGACATTACAATTCTATAACTTATTATTTATTTATTTGTTGAAATAATTCTATAAAGGGAAACTTCTCTTCATCTGCTATTTGTTATTCAGTGGTATAATCAATATAAGAAATATTTTCAAAATAAACAGTTGGTTTCTGAACTTTAGTGAAAAGTATCCATATTAGTCTGCTCGGGCTTTCATAACAAAATACCACAGACTAAATGGCTTAAACAACAGAAATTTATTTTCTCACAGTTCTGTAGGCTGGAAGTCCACAATCAAGGTGTTGTCAGGTTTGGTTTCTCCTGAGGCCTCTCTCCCTGGTTTGCAGACTGCTGCCTTCTTGCTGTGTCCTCACGTGGTCTTTCCTCTGTGCATATACATCCCTGGTGTCTTCTTGTGTGTCCTAACCTCCTCTTCTTACAAGGCCATCAGTCAGATTAGGACCCACCCTATCAGCCTCATTTTAACTTCATTACCTCTTTAAAGACCCTGGCTTCCAAACACCATCACAGTCTGAGGTACTAGAGGTTAGGATTTCAATACACGAATTTTAGGGAGACACATTCAGCCCATCATAGCATCCGTGAGTGTTTTGCAATGTATATATAGGGTATTGCTGCCATAAGAGATTACCACAAATTTAGCAGGTTAAAGCAACACAAATGTATTATCTCACATTGTAAGTCAGAAGTCTGAAACGGGTGTCTCTGGGAAAACTGAGGAGTTGGCAGGGCTGTGTTCCTTTGTGCCTCCTAAGAAAAGCTGCTTCCAATCTCATTCTGTTTGTTGGCAGAATTCAGTTCCATGTGGCTGTAGGACTAAGGTCCCGTTTCTTTGTTGGCTGGCAGCTGAGGCTCGTTCTCAGCTTCCAGAGGCCATGCCTTGGCTCATGGCCCCCTTCATCTTCAAGCCAGCAGTGGTGGGATGAGGCCTTCTCATGCTTTGAATCTCTCTGGCCTCTTCTGCTGCTGCATCGCACCAACTGGCTCTTGTACCTGTCTCATCCACTTGTAAATGTCTTTGTGGTTACGTTATGTCCAGCTAGGTAATCCAGGACAATCTCATTGCCTTAAAGTCCTTAACCTCAATTTCATCTGCAAAGTCCCTTTGCCATGCTGTGTAATATATTAGGGATTAAGATGTGGACATCTTTGGGAGCCATTATTCTGCCTACCACTATATATATTTAAAAAAGACAGATAGAAATACATCAAAATAATAATTCCTATGTGATGGATTTTTTTATTTGTACATTTGAGCTTATTCCAAATTTGCTGCTACATATATATATGTATATGCTATATGTATATATATATATATAAATATATATGCACACACATATTTATGAGTGTTAATTATTCCTTCCTAATAAAATTGTGATATGAATTAAAAGAGAAAAGAAAAGCTTGTAAAAGATCTAATATAGAAGTCTTGTTAGAAATGTTGGTTTTCTTCCCTCCTCCCTCCTGAAGTTGATCACACCATAATTTTATGTGTATCATCCAAACTCTACCTTCTTTGACACATTATAAGCACAGCTGCTTCTTATATTTGAAATTTTTGCAGAAATACTCTTTCATTTTCTGAAAACATAGTCTCAATCCTAAAGGGTTCAACTCGCTCTGAGAGTAGAAGCCACCATGACAAGGGGCCTCGCGAGGTGGGCACCAGTCCTCTTGCCCATTCCACAGGAAGACTGGGCCAGATTCTTTTATTCAATTTCCAATACTCACTTATTATTACATTTTCTGTAAGGACCCTTTCAGCTCTAAAGTTCTAATACTCATTTTATGCAAGAATCAAAATGAGTTAACATATATAAGTCACTCAGTCCACCACATGCAAACTGAAGTGTTCAATAAACGGTAGCTTTCAACTGTGGTCATTACCACTATCAGTAGTAGCAGTAAATGTTGTCTGGAATCCCAGTAGCCAATTTTTCTGGAGTAATAGTGGCCCACTCCTTCTGGCTTCCTCAATTTGTGCATATAAAAAGTTTCTCTCAAGGTTGTAGAGAAAAGGAACCCTCATACACTGTTGGTGGCAATGCAAACTGGTGCAGCCACTATGGAAAACAGTATGGAAATTTCTCAAAAAATAGAAATACCATATGACCCAGCCATCCCACTACTGGGTATCTATCCAAAGAACTTGAAATCAGCAATTCCAAAAGTCCCATGCACCCCTATGTTCATCACAGCATTATTCACAATAGCCAAGTCATGGAACCAACCTAAGTGCCCAGCAACTGAGGATTGGATAAAAAAGATATGGCATATATATATACATATATATATATATATGTATATATATACACAATGGAATACTACTCAGCCATAAAAAAGGATAAAATCGTCCCATTCACAACATGGATTGACTTTGAGGGTATTATGTTAAGTGAAATAAGCCAGATAGGGAAAGATGAACTCTGTATGACTCCACTCATAGGTGGAAGTTAAACATATAGACAAAGAGAACTGATTGGTGGCTACCAGGGGGAAGGGGGTGGGGGAGGGCACAAACGGTGAAGTGGTGCACCTACAACGTGACTAACAATAAAGTACAACTGAAATTTCACAAGGTTGCCAACTATCATAATCTTAATAAAAAGTTAAAAAAATGTAAAAAAAAAAAGTTTCTCTCAAACCAGCAACAAAAATAACCTGATTTGAAAATGGGCAAAGGATTTAAATAGACACTTCTCCAAAGGAGATATATGAATGACAAATGAGCACATGAAAAGATGCTCGGCATCACTAATCATTAGGGAAATAAAAATCAAAACCACTGAGATATCACCTCACACCTATTAGGATCACTATTATAAAAATTTTAAAAATCCCGGAAAAGAACAAGTGTTGGTGAGGATGTGGAGAAATTGGAGCCCTTGTGCCTTGCTGGTGGGAATGCAAAAAGGCACAGCTGTTGTGGGAAATGGTATACCAATTCCCAAAAAAATTAAACGTAGAGTCACCATATGATCCAGCAATTCTACTTCTGGGTGTATGCCCAAAAGAATTGAAAGCAGGCTCTTGAAGAGGTACTTGAATGCCCGTGTTCATAGAAGCGTTATTCACAATTGCCAAAAGGTGGAAGCAACCCAAATCTCCATGCACGGATGAATGGATAAGTAAAATGTGTTATGTACATGCTAAATGGAATATTATTCAGCCTTAAAAAGGAATGATATTCTGAGACATGCTACGACATGGATGACCCTTGAAGATATTATGCTAAGTGAAATAAGCCAGCTCAAAAGGACAAATATTATATGATTCCATCTATATGGCATACCCAGAGTAGTCAAATTCATGCAGACAGAAAGTAGAATGGTTGCCAGGAGATGGGGGACAGGGAAATGGGGAGTTAGTATTTAATAGGTATGGTTTCGGTTTTGGGTGAAAAAAGTTCTGGAGATGGATAGTGGTCCTGATGGTAGCAAAACAATGAGAATATAGTTAATGCCACTGAACTGTGCACTTAAAAATGGTTAAAATGGTAACCATTGTGTGATTAGGTTAGGTTAGGTTATGTGTATTTTACCACAAGTAAAATGACATCTCCTCTATTCTCTGCCCACAGAGACTCTCTCTCATCCCAAGACAGTATGGCCCTGACCACAGAGTTGGGGAGACAGCTACAACTGAGAGAGGTGGGGGGGATCCTCCTGCAGGCTGCAACTGTGGACAACTGGAGCGAGATCCAGCACTTTGAGGCCAAGCCAGATGATCTCCTCATCTGTACCTACCCTAAATCAGGTGACTGTAGGGCAAAGGGGACAGCAAGACCTCGGCCTGCTGAGTCAGCAGGGGCTGCTCACCTCAGTTAGAATGCCCCTTGATAGGATGTTGCACTTATCAAGGAAATCTGCTCCTTATTGTTCCTCAACAGTGCTCGCTCTCAGATGTGCAGTATGCTAAGTTTAAACCCAGCATCCTGGGTTTACTGGGGGTCAAGCATCTTTAGAGGATCAGCCTGCTGTGCTCTGCCGGGGACTGCTCCCGGGTGAGAGCACCGTGAGGCTTTGCCTGTACTGCTCCTCTCTCCATAGAGATTCAGTGTTTCTCCCACGTGGACGTCCATCTGTCATGGCTAATAGGATCCTGACCTGAGGGAAGGTTGAACCAAACACCAGTCAGTCCCCATGTGCCCCTCAATTACCCAGGACGCTTAGGCAGATTGTCTAACAGGTTTCTGCTTCTCGCCCTTTTCATCCTGGCCTCAGGGACAACATGGATTCAGGAAATTGTGGATATGATTGAACAGAATGGGGATGTGGCGAAATGCCAGCGAGCCATCATTCAACACCGCCATCCTTTCATCGAGTGGGCGCGGCCACCCCAACCCTCTGGTAAGGGCTCTTCCCTCACTGCCCCATCTCCTTTCTTTCTTTTTTCAGACCTTATTTTTTAGAGCCGTGTTAAGTTTACAACAAAACTGAGAGGGAAGTACAGAGATTTCTCTGTCCCCACACATGCATAGCATCCACCATTATCAGTACCCCCCCTCCCCACAGTGGTATACTTGTTACCACTTTGTTGATGAACCTACACTGACACATCATCATCACCCAAAGTCTGAAGTTCACATTAGGGTTCACTCTTGTACATCCTATGGGTTTAGACAAATGTATAACAACATGTATCCTCCATTATAGTATCATACAGAGTATTTTCACCCCCCCTAAAATCTCTCTGCGTTCTGCCTCTTCATTCTTCCCCCTGCCCTCACTCCCTAGCAAACACTGATCTTTTTACTGTCTCCATACTCCCCTCCAAACACTGATCTTTTTGCTGTTCTGCCTTTTCCATAATGTCGTACAGTTGGAATCAAACAGTATGTAGTCTTTTCAGGTTGGCTTCTGTCTTTTTTTTTTTTTCCTCCTGAGGAAGATTAGCCCTGAGCTAACATCTGCTGCCAATCCTCCTCTTTTTGCTGAGGAAGACTGGCCCTGAGCTACAATCCATGCCCGCCTTCCTCTACTTTATATATGGGACACCTGCCACAGCACGGCTTGCCAAGCAGTGCCATATCTGCACCCAGGATTGGAACTGGCAAACCCCAGGCAGCCAAAGCAGAATGTGCAAACTTAACCGTTGCACCACCCGGCCGGCCTGGCTTCTTTCTTTAGTCATATGCATTTAAGTTTCCTCCATGGCTTGATAGCTCATTTATTTTTAGCACTGAATTCTATTCAGTGTCTGGATGTACACAGTTTATTTATCCATTCGACTACTGAAGCCTCTCAGTTGCTCTCCTTCTTTCTTTCTCTTCCTCTCTCTGTCCTTCCTCTGTCTTCTGCTCTCTCTTCTGTGTCTTTGTCTCTTTTCTTTTTCTCTCTCCTGTCTCACCTTTCTCCCTCTCTCCCTTCCTTTTCCTCTTTCTCTCTCTCATTTCTAATGCCATATGTTTCCTCTTCTTTTCTTCCTCTCCCCTTCTTTCTTCATATTATCTAAGATTATTTGCCAAAAGTGGGTCACCACATCAGAAGGATTCTTACCCTCTGGCCATTGCTATTGCAGAACACATGGAGAAGGCAGAAAGCTACTTACGAGCAATTCACACCTTCTCTCCTTACTCCACTCCTATAAAAGCCAGGTGCAGCCAGGGGAGTGCCCGATAATTGACCATAAAATGCACTTGGAGCCAACTACTTCTGTTCAGTAGAGAAGCCTTTTTCAGGTAATACTCAACCTAGAAATTTTTCTTTTCTCACACACACACACACTCAAAATAAAAATAAAGCTCAAAAAGACAATCAGAAGACAAAGGAAGCCATTCCAGGTAACTTGCAGCTGCTGGAAGTGTTTTTGCAGAACAAGGAGAGGAGGAAGGCCTACTCCCCGAAGTTTCAGCGTAGATCAGTGTAATCAAAAATTGGAAACACAAGTAGCTAGAGCTATAAAAATGTCGTCCATGCAACTTTACTTTTGGAGTCTGACCTGGGAACAATTGTTGGCAGAGACTGATACATCTCTACAAATACCTTGAGCCAGAAAAGTTCCTGATTTGATGCACATGAGACACCTGTAACCTGCACAAGAGTGTGCCAGAATATCCTCGATGCACCTTGTTTTTCCTTATTCTCCTCCCTGCCAGGCCCTCTGCCTCCCTAGCCTTCAGTTCCCATCTATTTGGTTGACCACTAGCTTTGCAATCCAGTGCCTGGTCTGGCCCTGGACTATCTGTGGGGTTCTGACCTCACACACAGGCTACCTTCTGCTTGCTTAACTGTGGTAGTACTCCGCATCATGCAGGGCCTTCCATTTTCATTTGCGTCTGGTCTTCTGACCCCTGGAGCAGCAGGATGGTATAATGGTTAGGGATGACCAGGGTTTAAATCCTGATGTCACCGTTCATCCATGACCCTTAGCAAGTTTCTTACCCTCTCTGTGTTACAGTTTCCTCAGCTGCAAAATGTCAATAGACTTAGTGCCTACCTCAAAGAGCTGTTGTGAAGTTAATATCTGTAAAAACCTTACAAAAGTGCCTGGTATAGAGTAGATACTATTTAAGTGGCAGGTATTCCTGTCCAACTCTTCAGGTTGAATCCCTTGCCCAACAACCCCATGTGTTCCCTGGGTCATCCAAGCCCAGCTTTTTATCTTATTTCTACATACCACTTCTACCACCATTGTCTTACCTCTGACAATTTGGGAGACTAAGAAGAGAAAAAAGGCCTAAGCATGATTTCTAATTAGGTATTCTCAGCAGTGAGGAGCAGAGTGTCCAATCACTAAGTCAGTATAAGAAAAAGGATGAAGTTTTTCTCAAGTCAATGCCAGTAGCTGTAGAACTTCAAGAAAGGATGCTAACCAATCACCCAGCATGGCATGTCATACAGAAACCAGGATGGTTCTTCATGACCCTGTGTCTAAAGAGGTAACGGTTATAGGCTTTATGGTCTTTCCAGCCACAAATAGACAGATGCTATGTAGACACTCAGCTGTGTGGTGGTTTTATTTCAGAGTAGATTATCTCTGCCAGCAGAGGTAAGGAGTACCATTAGCAGAGGAAGGTGGTTGCTGATATAGATGGATGGGTGTTAGTCAAGTATACCAACCACCCTAGAGGGTTCTGGAGTGGGCAGACACTGCAGGACACTGTGTGAGTTTGTGCCCTGCATGGTCAGTCTCCCTCCCAGACCTCCTTCCACCCTTCCACCAATTCCTGGCTATAGAGCTCTTTGATGACAAAGGCATAGCATCTGTGACCTAGTTAGAACAGGACTGGAAAGAATTTGAAAAGACACGTGTGTGTGTGTGAATTGTATATAGGTAAAATCGAAGAATGACTCCTTCAGTTGAACAAACATTTATACTATAGGCCCCGTGCTGCACATAAGACTCCACACTTCCATTTGCACTCAAGAAATTCATGGTCCCATGGAAGAGACAAATTCAGACTATATAATGACAAGACGTGAGTATGTTGGGTAGAGGTTAGCCTAGGATGCTGTTGGCAGGGTGAGAGGAATGTGACCAAAGACCAATTCTTGGAGAAGATGATACCTGAAATGATAAGATGCTATTATTGTTGTCAAGTATCTTTCTGTCTTTCCTGCCAGACCATAAGCTCCTTGTGCAGATGATGAAAGCCCAAAATGACTCAATTTGCCCCTTTCATCTGCAGGGTGGGTTTGGGAATAGACTTTGTAGCCTGGGGTGTATTCATAGACATTCTCACCCCGTGCTTCTTAACCCAGAGGCTGAGTAATCGTGGCAGTGTGCCAGAGGAAGGAGACAACCCAAGTAGCTTTTCTGGAGATTGATGAGAGACAGAGAGAGGGAGAGAAGGAGAAAATGTAAAATTTACCAGCATTTGTGAAAGAAAACACTGATGGAATGCTTTATGTAAAGCCCCAAATCCACAGAACCTGTCTTTGCTGTCGGGGTTCTTTGGCAGAGAAGTTTGCATGTGCAGCTGGGCCAAGCCTGCCAGGAGGGCTGCATGCAGGAGGAGGAAAGCTCAAGGCTACCAGCCTCCTTCCTACATAGGGGTCGTTTGAACCTGAGAACTGGGAGTCCCAGATGAGCAAATATGCTCAGGGCAGCTGTCTTCACAGCCTTTCTTCTCTCTTCTTCTTCTTTCTTCTTCTCACCTCTCTATCTTGCAGCTCCCTCTTCATTTTGGACCCTTGGAAGTCCCATTATTTTCTTGTGAGCCCAGTTATGCATTGAAGTTTGTGGTGTTTTAATCAGAATCTGCAGGAGTTTTATAACAGCAGAAGTCTTTGTAATGTCCAGGCCACCACATTGCCACAGTCGAGGTGTCTGGAGAGACTCTTAAAGAGTGAGTGGGACTAACTAGGTGCATAGAGATTCCAAATAGAGTGCTTTTTACAAATTAATTTTGGCAATACCAACTGAAAGTAGAAAAATCTACAACATACCTGTAAAGACACAGGTAAACATGCAGGCACAGAGACTTTATCACGTCCATCTAAAATTTTAGCCAAGAATCAAGTACAATAATACAAACTCACTAGTTAGAAAAGAAGTTGAATCTAAATTGTGTTTCTGGCAGATGGAATAAGTTAAGGTACCTGCTCAGATGGCTAAAGCTTTTTACTAATGTTTGTGAAGAAGATTCTTAAGATTGTTTTTATCCACCTAGTTTCCAAATAGTTTTTCTCTTCCCACCCGCCCCACCTCCCCCCACTATGAGAATTACATCCCTGACGTTTGTACTTCAAAGGCCCAGATGAGAGTTCCTCAGAAGACCAGACAGAGCATTTACATCTCAAAGGCACAGGGAAAGAATACAAGGAAGGACTCTTGTTTCCCAGGGCCAGAATGTTTATAATACCTACAAGCCTTTTGAGATGAATAGGTGAGGTTTTGGAATTGGTGAAAAGGATAGGTGGACTTTGAATTCTTTCTGGAGCTGCATCTCAGGTTTTTGCAAAGATTTGTAAGATAAGGGCAGTTGCTCTTAATTCTTCAAAGAATTGGGTCCGAAGCCTCAATGATATAGAGTTCAAACCGCCCATCCAACTACATTATTCTCTGTTTGCTTCTTTATATCAGGGAGAAGATCTTCAACTAAGATAGAAATCAAAAGGATTCCTATGTTCTAGATTTAGAGCTTCATCTTTAGAATGTTTTCCTTTCCCTCTGGGTACATTTAGCTCAGAGAATCCTTTAAAAAAAAAGTTCCTATCAGATTCTGAATGTCAGCTTCCAATACGCCTGTCAACGAAAATAATCCATAACCAATCTATAAATGAAAATTTGGGTGAGTTTATTCTGAGCTTAAATCTGAGAATTATAACCCGAGAGAGTCTTTCCACAAAGGAACAGAGCACTCCAAAGAAATGGGGGTATACAGGGTGGTTATATACCCTCAAAG